AATCACCCATAAAATTACTTTATATAGTTATCTTAATTTATCCATACAAAAAATTATTTCAGTGCCCTTACCCCCAATCCCCCTCCCCCAAGTAGTAAGTGTTACACAAAATAATTGCATAATATAACAATAATATTAATTAAGGAAGAAAAAAACCGAAAATGAAATTGCAGTAATATATTAATCGCTAAAGCAGAGAGTGAATCTTCAAATCGAGGTATGTGTATTACACAGTGTCCTAAAAACATATTCATCCCCTCAACGTAGGTGTTTGAGGTTTCGTGTGTTTCCCAAGAAATAATAAAAATCGGTAAAAACTGAGCACTTCGTTTTTAATTCGACGAACTGAAATTCTATCAGAACGGGATCACCAAGACTTTGGGCAGAAAATAATTTTTGCAGGTAGAAAGTGGAAGCTTCAGTCTGACATTCGTGTACACAGATCGCACAAATTCACAAGTTCAATGTCCGAAATTTTGATTCGATCCTTGATTAGCACTCTCTACACATGCATGTGAAGAGATCATCTATACTATACCTGATTACACCACTTCAAAGTGTTAATCACATATAACGTGTTCATTATCTTGTTCATTTTTCTATATGGGACAAACTACATATGGTTTTTGGTTCAACACAAAATCATTTTCCAATTGATCAATTTTAAGTTTCAATTTCTCATTCACCCGAACATCATTTTGGCAAGAAAATATATTATTTCTATACACACGGAGGAGGACACGAATCGACTTTAATCTTCCAAATTGATCGAACATATCCCTCTCAAAATTATGCCAAAAGTGACTCACTAAACCATATTTTCCAACTGTGCGTTCTCGAGATACGAGTTTACAGTACAATACACACTACAAATTTAACACTACATTGAGTTTGCGAAATTATTAACAACTCGACCAAGTCAATATAATGCAAATAAAGCTGCCGGAGTATATATTGACTGTCCTAGACATAATTAATTATGAGAGGACATAGAGGGGGTGAGGGAGGGCCCTACGTTATCGAAGTCAGGGAGCAAATGGCCCATGGACCATGGTGGTGTCTCATCGGGAGTCCGGTGAAGAATGGATTTAAATATTTGTATCATGTTAGTTGTCACCATAAACTAGGTCCCTAATGGTCCCTTATTTTGAGGGGTGTCGTGGGAGCACTTAAACAAGGGTTTCACGTGTCCTAATCATCCTTTTTCTACAACAATCCACGTGGCTCCCTCTCAATCATATTTCACTCCTTAGTACTAAGAAATTATGCAGTTATTACAATTAAGAAACAAAACATCAAATGAGTAAGAATTAAGAAATAATTGTTGGGTAGAGAAGCATATATATATATTTTTTTTGTCAGTTTAATGTGGGATGAAGATCGTGCAATTTGAACAAATCAAGGGGTAAATTGTCATGGAACTCCATGTGCTTTTGCTAGGACTATACATGTGAGGAGATACAAATGCAAACCCTAAATGCTATAAATCAAACCACGAATAAGGTCTTCGTGTTCCAAGATAATCAAACCATCATTATGAGTAACGTGAGTATGAGACTTTTTGATAGAACCCACGAACCGGATGATCAGGTTAATAGATAATATTTTATCGTTGAATCATATTTCATATTGTGTAACATGTCATTTCTTGTTTAGTAGTAAATGAGCTTATAAATTAATGCAAAATTTGAATCAATCAATCAATCAATTTTTTTTTACCCTTCCAAGACATGTTTCGTATCATGGTTTAGACACACTTATAGCATAATAAAATACACGCGGGCCAACATTAGTCGTCATGTATCCTCCCACGTCGATCTAAGATTCAATACTCCAAACTCTTTCCTTATCAAATCAATCCTCTACAAATTCCACTACCTTCACAAAACAAATATAATTATGATTGTATTGATATATCTCACTCAGAAGGTGTAAATATGTCATCTTTTAATAATGCTTAGTCTTTCATTTTATTCTTCTTTAGAACACGGCGATTTTGACGAAGAAGAATGTAAGTCAATTAAGAGTGACATTATTTTTATCTCTGAGTCGACTGAATTTGCTCTTTATTCAATAGTCTTTAACTTCGATATCGATACCTATGACTAGTGGTGGATCTAGGATTTTGAATGAGTACGTGCGAGCGTTGACTGTCGAGCGCAATAAAATATTAAAAATTAAATATAACAAATATTTTGTTAAAACTAAACATGTATAATTCTGTTATATATATCAACAATATTCACCAAATGACAGTGGTCAATTTTTGTATAATTTAGAGGAAGAGCACATGTACGAATCCTTTCAATTGCATTAAAACCGTTAGAACTGAACATATATTATTTTGTAACATTTAGTGTCAACATTAGTGAATGACAAGATGGTTAAGTTCTAAATAATCTTAAGGATGGCTCACAGGTTTGAATCAACTCTCTATTGTATTTGTTTTGGTAAAAATTGTAAAGCTAGAAAAATTGCAAAATAAATTGTTTTGTAAGAGATTCATTCCAGGACTTTCAATTTGCAAGTGTTGCCTCTAACCAAATGAGCTATAAGACATGTTTGAAGACAAGGTGAATTATTAGATATATAAACTAAAAATGTTATCTATTCTCAATAGAAAAAAATTGTTCTGACGAATTCAGCATGCGCACCATCGGTGCTCATCGTGTGATGGATCTGCCACTGTCTATGGCAGAAAATGGCGTGGTCCTACGTGACTAGCTGGTTAGAAAGTCCTACGGTGAACTCCAAGTTAAGAGGTTTTTTGCATTAATTTTAATATCGGACAAAATTCATCTTCCAAGTGCAACATCATTGACATTACTATTACACATCGTAGTAGTACCAAAGATATTTTTGCCACAATCAATGTCACCCTTCTAAGACCCAACATTTGTCCCTCCATCACCGTCGATAATTTTTCTTTCCACTAACGTTCAACTCGAGCAACAACCAATACTACAAATGGAAAAAAATAGAAATTAATTTTTGTATAAAATAATTTCCATAAGTATAAAATATTGATATATAAAGAAGTTTAATCAAATCAATATCTCCTCTAATAATTAAGTGATAATCACAAAGGAAATATCTCCTCGTATCGAGTCATCGACTCTACTTATTTTTTTCAACTGATAAAGAGATCCAACTAAACCCCTAATCTCAAAAGAAAATAAAATATTCTTAAGAGTCCATTTGATAGGAGACTCGTGAAACGTCCTCTGAAAAGCCTTATAATCAGATTAAACACTTGCAAAAAATCATACAAATACGTTCAGAAGCAGTTTCTTAATTTTAGAAGTCCAAAACCCGGCCAAACGAGCCTCAAGTGCCATCATTAGCTGTCTCACATTTTTTTCTATATTCAAATAAATATGTCTCATAAGAATTCCAAAAAGCGATTTGGAAAGGCCTCTAAATCAGGGAATGTCACCATCCAAACTATTTTTCTCTTCTAAACACAAATTGTCCTTGTTGATCCCTTCTTTTACCTAAAACGGGCCATCTTATTACTACAAGGAGAAGTTTAAAATAAATTTCTGTGTTAAATTCTTGGCCACGCGATTATGACACTAAAATCCATTGGCTGAATACAAAGGGCGGAATGGATCGTCTTGATTTCTCTGCTTGAAATTTTTTAAAGCTTATTGGTACTTTTTGTTTCTTAATTCACATGCAATTCATCGAACGACAATTTAAATATGAAAGCATACCTTACATTAATTTTTGAGATTTTTCTTGAAATTAATTTCGGTTATGTCTTTTTTTACGTGTATATATTCCTTGTCGAGTATAGAACAGGTTGACTTTAAGTGAAAAGGTTGTTAGGCAATTGGCATCATGAAACAAAAAATATATGCTAAAAAAAAAAAAAAAAAGTAATAGTGAGAATTGCCGACATGAAAGTGGGATGTGGGCCAGTTTTGGACCCATGATCTATTTTCTGTTTATGCTATTGTCTTGAGATTTCCTGTAAAAATTTCTCAACAAATCCAAGACCACGTTCCCAATTTTGCTTTTATTTTTTCCCATTTATTCATCTTTATTAACTTCAATTTATTACCTTTTCGTGATTTAATCCAACAATAGTAATAAAGATATTTACAAAACTATGGGCAAAAAGATAAACTATGTCTAAGATATAGTTCAAAAAAGAGTAATATCATGTCTTACTTTTTCGTTCTTTCTAATTCATTCACTTTAAGACTAGAAAGTTAATGCAAAGTTTGGAGGACAACGAGGCACGTGAAGATCGAAATTGGGGACCGAAAGTGATGAGTGTTACTAGTTCAGGTTCAAGGGAGAGTGATCGAGGGGATCCGATTGCTCTTTGACGTCAAATGGAAAGTTAGCTCATATGGCTTTTCTAGTACTCTGTGGAAGATGCGTAAATTGGCCTGCTTTTTCCGACAGAGATAGAGATGACTTTGTGGTCGACTTCTATTATGCTCGTTGAAAACTTCGTCTAGATTTCTTCTAGGTCAACCCACTCAATATCCGAGGGAAGGTAAGTTTTTGGCGATCGTAGATATGCCGAATTATGCAGCAGATTGTATGTACTTATAAACATAATTTCATTCAACGTAATAAATATCTTTACTACTCATTCCTCAATGGACGTATATGACACTTGGAATAAAAATTACTATGTTAAAGAAGCCATTAACGCAGGCATATGTAATACACTTAAATAACACGACAATTTTAACTATGAAGGTCTCCATTGATGGTTAAGAAGCGCGTGGCATTAGCATATTTTGCTTAGATTAGATTAACGTTAAGCAAAGAGAATCTGCATATATTTCTGGTCAAAGATCTCGGGTGCCCATTTTTCTACTGCTTATAATCCTATATATACATGCCCATATGGAAGCATATGCAACATATCAATCTTTCCTACTTTATCTTTCTTCTCCAACTCTCTAATTACCTAGTTTCAAGTTCTGCACATTTCCTCAACCATTTAGGTGGGACAACATTCCAATCTTTTAAACAAAATGAAGTTGCTATCAAGAAAAGCCTCGTGTAATTCGCATGGCCAAGATTCTTCGTACTTCGCCGGATGGGAGGAGTATGAGAAGAACCCTTACGATGAAGTCAAGAATCCTCAAGGAATTATTCAGATGGGCCTTGCAGAGAATCAGGTACGTATATAATTCATTAAAAAAATGGATATACTCTGATCATGGCTTGCTCAAAATTTTGAGTCACATTTATTTAAGTTTCCACTATTTTCAAGAAATTTTGAGTCTTGTAGAGTTAAAAATGATCACAATTTCTGCAGCTTTCTTTCGATCTACTCGAATCATGGCTTGCAAAAAATCCAGATGCAGCTGGGTTCAAGAGAAATGGAGAGTCTATATTCAGAGAACTTGCTCTCTTTCAGGATTATCATGGCCTTCCTGCATTCAAGAATGTAAGTATTATACATTCAACATTAATCTTTTCATTCTTAGAAACGCCAACAATTAGGTATATTTTATTGATCTGGGGTTAATATTGTATACAGGCATTGGTTGAATTCATGGCAGAAATCCGAGGAAATAAAGTCAGCTTCAACTCTAACAACCTAGTACTCACTGCGGGTGCCACTTCTGCAAATGAAACTCTCATGTTTTGCCTTGCTAATCCAGGCGAAGCCTTTCTGCTTCCCACTCCTTACTATCCAGGGTAAGTAGTAAATTTTTAAACACTATTATCATCACATCCATTAGTTATCAGCTACAGAATTGTTTTTATCTCTGTTTAATACTGATTAAATGGTGAAATTAATTAACGCAGATTTGATAGAGACCTCAAGTGGCGAACTGGAGTTGAAATTGTACCAATACAGTGCACTAGCTCCAATGGATTCAGAATCACTGAATCTGCTCTAGAAGAAGCTTATCAACAAGCACAAAAGCGTAATCTCAAAGTTAAGGGCGTATTAGTGACTAATCCTTCCAATCCTTTGGGAATATCTCTAAGCTGGCACGAGCTTAATCACCTGCTTAGCTTCATTGCTGCAAAAGGCATCCATCTCATTAGTGACGAAATATATTCGGGCACTGTTTTTAACTCGGAAGGCTTTGTGAGTATCATGGAGGTTTTGATGAACAAAAAATACGTGAATTCGCCAGTTTGGGATCGAGTACACATAGTCTACAGCCTCAGCAAGGATTTAGGTCTCCCTGGTTTTCGAGTTGGAGCAATTTACTCCAATGACAAAATGGTCGTGGATGCAGCAACAAAAATGTCCAGTTTCGGCTTGGTTTCTTCTCAAACTCAGTATCTTCTTTCGGCAATGCTTTCAGACAAAATATTCACCAAAAACTACGTTACAGAAAATCGAAAACGTCTTAAACAGAGGCATGCAATGCTCATTCGAGGCCTTAAAAATGCCGGTATTCCCAGCCTCGAAAGCAACGCCAGTTTATTCTGTTGGGTAGACATGAGGCACCTTTTGAGCTCCAAAACTTTTGAAGCTGAAATGGAATTATGGAAGAAAATTGTATATCAAGTTGGCTTGAATATTTCTCCAGGATCTTCATGCCACTGTGTCGAACCAGGCTGGTTTCGCATGTGTTTCGCCAACATGTCCGAACAGACCCTAAACGTCGCAATGCAACGCATAAAATCGTTCGTCAATTCAATTTCTGACGGTAACGATATAACTAGCCCAAATCAGCAGCATTCGAACAAGAATTCAAGAAGAAAGTCATTCTCCAAGTGGGTTTTTCGGCTATCGTTTCGTGATCGCGAAAGCGAACGATAGTCAGACATTTTTTTCTCAATATTCTAATGTTGAGTTAATATTTTTGTATAATTCCCCCCTTTTTTTTCTTGTAGACAATGCGCTCTCTGTCCCATGTTGTCGAGAAGTGAATTTCCTATCAATTTGTAAACGATTGTAAGTTGTTTGATGAAACAGTCTTTCTGAGTTTTGACAAGTTCGTTCTTTAATCATTTCATAATTCTGTATTCAAGGAGATATCATAGACTGGTTGGTATGTTTGAGTTAATTAGTATCTTTATTTGCAATTTGATTATAAGGCGAAATTAACGGCTATGGACCGTGTCGTGGAAATGCCGACGTTGGACGGTTAAGTGATAAAAAATGTTTTTTTCAACCGACATTTTCCTGTTCCATAATTTTAATCCGTATAAACAGCATACTTTTAAGAGTCAAAATAATATCAGAATTTTAAAAAAAATGTAATAATGTGTTATTTGAAAAGTGAATAAAACTTATTGGTCCTAAAAAATGCGTGTTTGAAAATTAACCTATCGACTTTAACTCGAATTTTTATCAATTTTAAATGGCTTCATAATTTGTTTTTATTAATAAAAAAATCACCATTCTCTTTTTGGGGTGACGAAAAGTTAGAGAAAACCCTAGACTATCAACAGTTTTTCGTTAAAGATAAAAATCAAGACAAGATCTGGGGTTGATTTTTGGCTATAAATCACGTCATTACGTAATCTATTTATTCAATTTGAAGGGAATTGAACAGGTGAACTTTCCGGTTTTTAAGTGGTGATTGAAGAGTTTCATCTCCTGAATTTTTACGCGGTTTCACACTGATCAAATTCCAAGAACAAGAGATTAATATTCTTGAGTTTGCTTTAAAATGGAACTTCATCTTTATGAAATTAATACTTTGACTATAGCGTGCCTTGTAAGAAACAGATTACTGTGTCTATTTGAGATTAAAAAAAAAAATTAATAATCACATCCATTTTAATTCAATTTGTTTTCTTGACTGCCAGTGTTTTTCACCTCATATTAAGCCTGTGTTCGGTGACAATTTGAAAATTATATTTCATTTATCCAATTCAAGTAAGGAAAATTAATTTATTTTTTTCTTGAATGTTATTGATTCGTGAAAATTAATAGATTTTTTTCAGTTAGCCTCTATTTGGTGCACATTTTGAGAGTAAAAATACATTTTTACTGTTGATGTGATGAAGAATATGTGGTTGAAAAAGAAGGAAAGGTTATTGATGTGATGAAAAATATTATTTTAACAAAAAATGTGTGGTTAAAAATGAGTATAAGAATGAGGATGAGAAAAATAAAGTGGCTCAAACAGAGGGCTTAATTAGACTTGCTTGTCGTGCCCAACAACACATACCAAATTATGTCTCACCTTTCCTGCTAGTCTCTACTGGTTTTTGAGACTTACTTCGATACAACAAAGGGAAAAAAAAATAAAAAAAGAAGGGAGAAGTGCTGCATTACCCGAAAAAAATCTCACATAATTGCAATAGAATATTCACACAAGGGTGGGGCCCGCACATTTTTTTCCTTTTTAAATGCACGTGGGACCCACTATTTATCTCTATTCTGTTGCATTTCTGTTGAATTTTATTCTGTACAAATTGATTTCTCCAAAAAAAATAAAAATAAAAAAAAGTGTTTGTCGAGGCTTGTTGCAATAAAGGAAGTAAGAGCTTTTGGCACAACACTTGTTAGCCAGTACTTACTGAAATAGAGAGAGAAATATCCCTTGAAATATTTGTTGAGGCCCAAGTAGATACGCAAAGATGTGGCACAACACGTATCAAACTTGAACGTTCTCCTACATAATTTACATTCCTATTTTAACTCTTTTTTTATCTCTTACGTTGGACTTTGATAATAATATACGAGTTGTGCTACATGTACATAACAATTTATATAATGATTTATCAACAGATAAATTGTGATATTTAATTGGATCAAAATTTCATCAATCAGATAACTTCTTCACTTACATTTTGACATATTATCATATATTTCGATCACATATTTCATGAACTTCTATCAAAATCAACAAAAATCTTGATTTTTAACTATAACAATGGGCTAAATCTGTCTTTAAATTAGTGCCACTAAGTTACCAAACTTTCTTCCTCCATTGCAAATTAAAATACATTAGAAAAACACTATACTTTTTAAAATAATCACAATTTGCACAATATCGACTTACAGGATCTGAAAAAGAAGAGCAAAGAAAAAGTAGTTTGAAAATTTCTCTGCATGCACTATCCTTTTCCAGTACCAGCTTTTCTACTTCTCTTTTTTGCATGCTAAAAGACTAAGCAAAAATCAGCTAAAACAAAGGTTTAAGTCAATAAAGTGCTGCTTATGAGTTGGCTTTGCAGGCAGACATGGAATACAGTTCCAGACATGAAGACTTTTAGCTTTATAAAACTGTTTCTTGTCATACCATTAGTAAGCACCTAGTAACAAATCTACTTATATAGTTCAAGTTTGTCTCCTTTCAAACAAAATTCTTTAATTCACGTTCTCATTTTTAACTACACATTTATACAATAAAATATTTTACACGTAAATCTAAAAATTTTCCTTACTTTTTAAATCATATATTCTCCAAAAAATTATTATTCAAAACATCATTTTTTCTCAATAGCTAGTAAGAGTATCAAATTACTTGCATCAGTAAAATCAGGAGATGAGTCTGTTTAAGTCATGGAGCATAATTATTATGGTTGTGCGGTGTTACTTTATTTTGCTCTAATTTGTCTTATATACAGGGAGCCATTATTAGGATTTTGTATATCCATAAAAAAGAGAGAGTCAAAAAATATAGGGTGTGCGATTTTCTCTTATAAACTTTTTTCATCATGGTGAATTACCACAAGAGCGAAAAAGGACGTAATCTCATATTGAAGTGAACTTGCATAAATTGTGTATTCTTACGTCTATATTTTTCTACGATGTTATTGCTCTTTGTGATAGAATTAGGGTTTCATATTCTCAACGGGGACAAATTTATTTATATGAATTATGTCTGCATCAAATCTCAAATATTTTTCTTACGTGCACAATTTTCATATAAGGATGACGCCAATAATTGAAATGTATTATGTTGAACTACCTCGTTTGAAAATTGAAAGAAAACCATTTTTTTTTTAAATACTTGTTGAGCAAGTTAGACGAGATGAAGTTAATATCCAAGATCCCTACATAGATTGAATTATTTTTTGGGTTGAAGGCATGGCTTGAAAATTTTGATTGAATGCTCTGGAGCGTCATGTCACATGAGAAAGCACATGTAAAGGACCATAAACAGAGAATACCTGCATATATAATCTAGAAGAGAGTGGTAGGTTTCACCTCTGAGGATGCCGAATGAACATGACTCCTTGTCTCATTTGTACACATACCATGACCCACTGCCCATATCTTCAAATTCAAATACCATATTAATTAATCGCCGTATTTATACAGTGTCATGTTTCTATTTGATTTCACATGCCAAAAATTAAAGTATGTGTACTAGAGAAAACTAAGGGATATATAAGATAGAGAAGAAATGGCAAAATAAAAGGAAAAAATAATGGAATTAGTACAATTTTTTGTGACCCCCACCCTCTTGTGAGAGGGCTGTCACGCATGGTGTACTAAGGTGACAAGTTGTTGCATTACTTGATCAGTTGTGTAACTCACTGCATCTAATTTTAGATCAAGAGTATGACCTCAATGAGATTAATAGATATTTTTTAGATTAGACTAATGGTCACCAACAAATTACCTTATCGTTCAAGATAATACATATACCAAAAAGCGTATCACCCTTTTTCCTGATCAATCACCTTCGATTAGTTGTTGAGGCTTACTTTGTTACAATAAACAAATTAGCGACTTCACCAACGGAAATTCCGTAGGTGAAAATTAATTCATATTACCTACGAAAAATCCGTTGATGGTATTAATATATTTTAATAATGCCAAACCAAAGGAATTTTTATCCCACGTGGAAAGTTCACAACAAAATCTTTGGAAATGACCTCTATAAATTAGTAGTCTAATAAGTGATTAAACAACTTTTCGGACCTTTCAATTTAGTTGGCTAAAAGTTAAAAAAATTATAATTATTAAACAATAATAAAAAATAGATAAATAATTTTTGGCCATGCCTTGCACCTATGCTGCTATTTACAGATTTTTACCAATTGTAATGGTAGACATTTATCAACGGAAAATCGATTGGTAATGGTTAAGATTTTCACACTTTATTACCAACAGAAAATACGAGTGACCCTCAAATTAACAACAGATTTGTGATTGCTAACATTCTGTTGATAAAGAGTAATAGCAACGAAGATCGTGATTTTAGAAATGGAAAAGCCTGAAGCCATTGGCTTACTTTGCTACTACAAACAGAGAAAGAGCTTTTATTGCAATGCTTATTAACGAGTAGCTACGAATATTGACAAAATAGAATTCCTTAAAAAAAATTGGGGCCCATATAGGCACATGTAGCTTGACTGCATCCACTACAACTTGACACAAGAGAGGGACAGGCAAATCCATTGGTTGTTGAAGCTTTATTTTGTTACAATAAACGAAGAAAAAGCTTTTAGCGGAAGGCTTGTTAACGAGTATTTGCTGAAATAAACATAGTAGACCCTTAAGTTCCTCGCGGCCCATGTGGCACAACCCGACACTATAAACGGGTAAGCTTATGACACATCGATTGGTTGTTGAGGCTTATTATGCTATGATAAACAAAGAGTTCCATATTAATGTACCTAATAACATAGACATAACATAATTCCTTAAAATTTCTTGAGGCCTATGTAGGCACATATAGCTATACTAGATCCGCATAACCTTTTTCTAGAGAAGTGGAGGCTTATAGTACAATAGTAGTGGCAATCGAGTCGAGCGGCTCGGCGGCTCTATCGCTCGGCTCGTACTGTAGCCATTCACTAGCCGCTTGGGCTGATCAAAACACGAGCCCGAGCACGAGTCAGTCCGCTCAG